CGACGGAGGTGTAGACAGGCAACAACGTCTCTTTGGTTCCCCAATAGAACTTCTGAATGTGATGTCCACCAAAGGGATAGATCATTGCAGCGACTGAAGGAGCCTCACGACCACATGAGTAGTCAAAGTCGAGCATGCCTTGAATGGCGCGGGGTTGAAGACCGTACACGAAAGAGCGTGTCTGATTGTCGAAAGGAGAATAAGAAGGACGGGAAGTAGAACCTTTAGATGACGTTGATGAAGGCTATTGGCAGACTAAAAGATAATTGCTTACCACCGGCTTCGAAATGAATGATCTTGTCCTTCGCTTGTGTCCTCTCTCCATCAGCGTGGATGGCACCAACTTGCTGATTGGGCGAAGGGGGAGTGACAGTTTCAGCAGCAGCAGCGGAGCCAGCTGCAGCCGAGATGGTAGCTGGCGGGAGGTCTAGTGCTTTCTTGATCTCGAGACCCAAGGCGAGAGGAACAATTTCAGTAATATGCGTTTCGGGGCCAAAGACATGGATGGGTACACCTAAGCCTTCTCCCAGGAGGCGCATCGCCTTAAGACCCTCCTGGTAGTTAGGGCCACCGCGACGGACGTAGATGGAGACCTTATGGTTGATGAGGGGTGCCTTATACTCCTTGAGGGCGCGGATGATACCCTTGAAGGTGGCAGCGACATTTGTGAAATTGGCAATACCACCACCGATAATAAGAATCTTGCCCTTTGGGTTGGGGGTTCCTCGTGTGATGAGATCGATGATCGTACGGGCATACTCGTAAGTTTGGCCCTCAGAGGGCGCGCCTGAATATTCACCATAATTGGCGAGTTCATGAGCAAAGCCATGGGCAGCAATGGCATCAGAGTAAACAACAGAAGCTCCACCACCAGCAACCTGAAAAATTGTTAAGCAATTGAGAGTTATAGCAGATGAGGAACTATGACGTACCATGGTCCATACGCGACCCTCAGCGTTCAAAACGGTGAGTTTGAGAGAAGCACCGGTAGACGCGTCCAACTTTTGGATATAAGCCTCTTCTTTGGTCAATTGGCGGCCAAAGGGTGCAGGCCATACCATAGGAGGACCACGGTCAGCTTGAACTTTGCCCTTTGTAGGAGCAGCTTCAGCAGAAGTGGAGGAAGTATCGCGAGCGATAGCCCATTTGGGACCGCAGATGGATTCTGCAGTCTGATCAAGTTTGGCTGCCATGTCGAGGAAGTGGATCGCCGGCTTGTTTCCGGTTTCGGGAGAGGCATCGAGTACAACCAAAGGGTTAATTTCGAGATAGGCAAAATGCAGATCAACGTAGACGCTATAGAGACGAATGATAAAATCGGTCAACGCGTCTTTCTTCTCTGCAGGAACATGGGTGAGAAGTTTAGACTTGATAGCATCGCGTCCGGGGAATTTCTCCTCAAGATTGAGAATGGGGATTTCAAGAGTCAAAGCTTTGGCGTCAACATCGCCAACATCAACTCCACCTTCGTGAGTGAAGAGGATTTTATCAAAATCGCGCTCAGAGGTAATGCAGACGTAGTATTCCGTGTTGGACGGATGAGGGAGGAAAGGCTCGACGATGAATGTGGAAAGAATGCCAGTGGTTGATTCGACAGTTACAGGCTTTCCAGCACGTTCTCCGATCCAGGCATTAGCATCCTTCCAGGACTTGTTCAGTGCGAGAAGGCCAGCCTTGCCACGACGCTTGATCAGTTGGTCGGGTTTTGCGACGAGCGGAGTGTTGAACACCTACATTATAAAATCGTGAGCTGAAGACATATGTAATCCAAATTCAAATACACACCCATCCTGGCAGAGATTGCTCGCCAGTTAGACCAGCACCTTCCTCGTGTTTCAGTTGGGCTACCTTGATGGATGGGTAGGCAAAGTCTGCAGAGACTTGCGCATTCTTGGAGACTCCGGGAGCACGCGGGAGCCAGTAAGAGAGCAAGAGTTTAGCGTCATACTCGTGGATGGGCTTGGATGCCATTTTTTTGGTGTTGTGGTCAAAGGAGAGGGGGGAAGACCTGTAAAAGTCGGCCGAGCGCGTTTTATACTTTGTGGCCAAAAAACTTGGGCTGATGAAACCCCAACACCCCAACGCGTCCTTCCTCGATCGCACCATTTCTTTTTTATCTATTCATCCATCTCTACTCAGAATACAAAAACATATCATGCTATTTGCCCATCCCCAGGATGTACTCTACGGCCGCCCTTTGGATTTTCGAACGGACGCGTGTTTCACCATCGATACACGCTCCCTTCTTGTCTCATGTCTGTCTCTTGTCTTTTGCCGAGAACCCTAAAATGCAGGCATGAAAGCTCCTTTCCTTCCTGTACAGTAGCTCGATATGCTCGATGGATGAACCTTGCCGGAGGTTGAATTTACTTTTGCGCTTTGCCGATTTCCAAGAATGGACGGCCGCTTCTCTTTGTCCGCCACCACAAAATTCTTGCTCTTACTCGTTCGTATTGGTACACATAGCGTTCATTGCTTTGACTTCGTTTCCTATAACATTTAATGGTGCTTTATATGGTTAGCGATCCAGTTGGCACAATAAATAATATATGACCTTGCGAAACCAAACCTTCAGCCTCTCGTCTGTTTCGATTTCATCGGGTCACACTTGATTAGGCTCTCGGTCCTTTTTTATAATTACCAATCACTGTAGACACGCCTGAATTAGGTAAGCCGGATAACATCATGACGAGGTGCCTTTAGTACGTCGCGAAGCGATAAGTTTGCGATAGACTGTAATTTTAAATGGTGGCTAGGATGAACAGGATCTCTTCTTCTAATCATCTACGGCAATCTCCTGTCAGTGCTCCGCTTCTTCCAGTTGTTGGTAGGCCTTTTCGCGGATCTTGCTATTCGCCACGATAGTCCTCCTTCTCCCGTAAAGCACGCAAAATCAACAAGTCAACTATCAACTCTATTCACGAACCTGTTCTAAAATCTTATTCCTTTAGTCCCTTTTAGAATTGAAGTTGAAATCATGCCGGTTATTTGAATGGGAGTGACCTTCAGCTAACCGTAGAGAATACCTTGTCTCATCGAATGGGACGATGAAGACAAGTATAGGTTTATAATCGAGCATCTCTATTCACGACTGGGCAGAGTTCGAATGAAAGCAATGCAATTCTAAGTAACATGAACAACGAAAGTCAAGGTTCCGCTCAGTAATAATGAACCTCCTCCCTCTCACGACCACGCATGAATGGCGGCTCAGTACCCTTGAAGTAGATATCGCCCCAGAACGCGTCGAGTCCTGGCTCGGGACTAGCCTTCGCCTTTTCAACAGCCTCATCAACAACAGTCTTTGCCTCCTTGTCAATGGTCTGTTCAGGAAATAAAAATATGTGAGCAAAAGCATGGAAGGAGAGTAAAAGATGAATATATGTACCTTGAGATCTTGCTCAGTGGCAACACCCCAATCCTCAAGGTACTTCGCAAGACCTCGGATAGGATCTTGAGTACTCCTCATCCTCTGCACCTCTTCTCTGGTTCGGTATGTGGTGCCAGGGTCGGACATGGAGTGACCTCCATAGCGGTATGTGACGAACTCCATTACCAGAGGACCTCTCTCCTCGTCGACAGACCATTTTCTCGCGTACTCGACGGCCTGACGAACAGCAATGATGTCCATGCCATTGACTTGGAGGCCAGGAATTTTGTCACCACGGGTGTAGTATGAGGTGTTTGAGGAGGAACGTTCAGCAGAAGTACCCATTCCATACTTGTTGTTTTCGCAAGCAAAAATGACGGGAAGGTTCCAGAGTTTAGCCTGTAATGAAAGGTCGGTATAAAAAAAAAATAAGGAACGAGAATTTGCGTACCATGTTGAAAGCCTCAAAGACCTGACCCTGGTTGGAAGCACCATCGCCATAAAGAGCAAAAGTACAGCCGCCTTTGCCCGGTTCAAGCTGGCCAACTTGCGGAGAGAAGGCCAGGTCACCAGCAGGTGACTTGAGAACATCCTTTGCGTACGCCTGCGCGAAGGCGACGCCTGCACCAACGGGGACCTGAGCACCGACGATACCATTACCACCGTAGAACGTAGGGGTGAAAATGTGCATAGAGCCTCCCTTGCCCTTGGACATGCCAATTTGTCGGCCCAGTAGCTCACCCAGCACGCCCTCGATAGTCCCGCCACGCATTACAGCGAAAGGGTGGCATCGATAGCCTGTAATGACACGGTCGTTGGGATGAATGCCATGCTCAAGACCGACGGAGACGGCTTCCTGGCCAATTGCCAAGTGACAGAAGCCGCGAATGAGTTTTGCCTTGTAGAGCGCGTCTGAGGCCATTTCCATTCGTCGCATTGTCTGCATCTCCCTGTACATTTTTAGAAGCTCTTCTTTTGTAACGCTCACATCTAAGGACGGAGTTTCGAGGTTGTGCGTCTTGAAGCTGTCTTCGTGAATTTGGACGGTGAATGGCTCGGAATGGGAGGAAGGAATGTCAGAACGGAGTGTGGTGGCATCTGCGCTGGTCTGAAGACTCCGCGCTAGTCGAGCCCGTGGAAGCCGTGCCCGACGCAATCCCAGCATGGTGGAGAGAGATGAAGGAAAGAGGTGAGGTTAGAATTTGTGGCTAGCGCTCGTCTTGTCGGGGAAATGCGGGTTCGGATCACCAACCCCATTCCCCCAAAATACCTGTTTCGTCCTTCCAGTGGCTAAGACTTTTTTGAAGAGACTTGAGTAGAAAAAATACTTATAATTTAGATACTGAGAAAACAGGATTTGGGGAACATGTTAGTAATGTATGATGTGGATACTTCAGGTCTTAGTGCATAAAATCATGCGTATTACAGCACACTCATGGTGAAACGGTATCATGCTTGCCTTCCAAGCAAGCGGCGCGGGTTCGACTCCCGCTGGGTGTATTTTGCTCCCATTTTAGATCTTAGAAAAACCGCAAAAAAAGTAATAAGCCCAAACTCAATGAACCCCACTTGGGCTACCCACAGTGTTTGATGTCTTTAGGTGAGCGAACTAGGCCTCAACCCAAAAAGTTCTCTCCTATACAGGGAATCGAACCCTGGGCTACCGCGTGCTCCATTTGATGAAAGGCGGTAATGTTAGCCACTACACCATATAGGACTTGTTATGTGATCTGCGCAGACAGATGCAATTATGAAGGAAAATAACTTCAAACCAAAGAGCAACACTGGAACTTCAGGGAAAGTAGGCTACAACTAAGCAGAGATATGTACTATGTCGTTCTCACAAAATATCCTTTTTTTCATCTCTCTCCATGTGCATCAAATCTGATACAAGACCGTTTGCTAGTCATGTGACTCGAGGGCAAAGGAGGAGACTCGAGATTAATTTGTCACGCAGTCTTTACTAGACCACTCATCGATAGTACATTGGGCTACGAACTAAGGTATTATTTGTCGTACTTGTATGTTCTAGTATATCTGGCTTCGTCGATGAGAAGATGCAACTCGCTAGAAGCTGACTGCTCGTTCCATCGGTAAAAGGGGAGCGAGACATAAAGAAGATATTGTTAATAACGATAAGGTAGTCTTCACTCATACAATATCTATGCTCAAAGCTTCCCAAACGAATGTTGCTCAGTGATCTCAGAGGTGACCGCATGATGGAGGCTCGAAGCCTCGGACCAATCCGGGGCGAGTTGTGTGAAAACATCCGGTATCCTCTTTTCTTCTGAACAACCAAGTGTCAAATCGCGCCGGGAAAACAGAAGACAAGCGCCAGCTCTCAAAACTTTTTCAAATAATACCCAAAATGGCTCAGGCCTACTATAGCCAGCAAAATTCGCCTGTCAAGCAGACTGCCTTCACCGACGGGGTAGACCGTCCGTTGAGGGTTGACGATGTGCAGGAGGCATACCTCGAGCAGAAAGACAAGTGCGTAGCTCTCTTCTTGATTGTCACACTTTCTCATCGGAAAATAGGCTCGTGCATGCTATTGACTCCACCAAGGACATCTTGAGTGACCTGCGCAAGTTCAACAAAGATGAATGGGTTGTCCGGTATCCGCGTCTTCGTGCCGCGCCGTCTGGTCTCACTCACTCCCTCTCCTTTGTGGACGAACCTGCTGTTGAGACAGAGGTTACATTACGGCCTAAGGGAATGGCTCGCTCGATGACTACAAGCTCCATTGACTCCGTTGCCACCTCCGATACCGATGACCCTGCTCAGAAGGTTGATGACGACTCGGCCCGGCTCCTTCCTTCCTCTGACTTCCAGGTTCTACGCCTGGACCTCAAACTAGGCTCACATTCCTCAGCCAGTGCCGCCTCGGCCCTTGTCTCTCAGCTCGAAAAGTCGTCGATTGCTAATCTCCTTGACGAACGCCTCTCGGCATCTGTCTCTCACATCGATAAACTCCGTCTCAGAGTCGAGGACACGTCCTCTAAGGTGCTTGTAACTGGTGACCTTAATGCCGGCAAGTCAACCTTCGTCAACGCCCTTCTCCGTCGCGAGGTCATGCCTGTCGACCAGCAGCCATGCACCACCGCCTTCTGCGAGGTCCATGATGCGGCAGAAAACTACGGCGTAGAAGAAGTTCACCTTGTCAAGGAAGGCGCCACATACGACATTAAAGATGAAACCACTTTCTCCCGCTTCCCCATTCAGGACCTGGAGTCTGTTGTTGGAGAAAAGGATGACCAGGAGGAGAACGCGCCTCAACAGCTCATTAAGCTCTATCTCGGTGATACACGTGCACCTTCAGAGTCTCTCCTGAACAACGGTGTTGTCGACATTTCCCTCATTGATGCTCCTGGTCTCAACCGAGACTCTCTCAAGACAACTGCCCTCTTCGCTCGTCAAGAAGAGATTGATGTTGTAGTCTTTGTCGTGTCCGCAGAGAACCATTTTACCTTATCTGCCAAAGAGTTCCTTTGGAACGCGTCCAACGAGAAGGCGTATTTGTTCATCGTCGTGAACAAATATGACCAGATCAAAAACAAGGACAAGTGTCGCCGTCTTGTTCTAGATCAGATCAAGCAGCTTTCTCCCCGCACATACGAGAATGCGGACGAGCTTGTTCATTTCGTGGACTCGGCTTCCGCACTTCAACCGTATACGGCCAACCCTTCATTCGATGATCTCGAATCCTCCCTTCGCTCCTTCGTTCTTGTCAAGCGCTCCAAGTCCAAACTTCACCCTGCATCGACCTACCTCTCAAACCTACTCGCAGATATCGAGCTTCTTGCGTCTGCGAATTGCATTGTTGCCGAAACAGAGCTCGATGAAGCCCGAGTATGCCTCGCCCATTCTCGCCCCGTTCTGGAAAAGATGCAGAAAGGTCGAGAGGGTTTGGAAGACTCATTGGAAACGGAGGAAGAGGAAGGAGCTTCCGCCGCCTCCGCTTCTGCTCGTTCGTCATTGAACGATGCACTCGACCGCATCAGCAAGGGCAAGCTTCCTCTCAATTCTACAATGTCTCTCCCAAGCTATCCCGGTTTGTTCGGTGTGTGGGAGTGGGCACGTGATATCCGCCGCACGTTCCTCTTGTCTTTAGACGCTGCCGTTAAGGCTGCAGAAGACGAGTCGCGCATCATCACCACCCAGGGTGTCGAAGCAATCAAGAATCTAGGCGAGACTCACCTCCCAGAAGGCGTTGAGAGGAGCAGAAGGGTTTTCATGCCAGAAGCCATGTTCTCAACCGTTCGAGCTCGTGGTGCCAAAGGTGCCAAGACTAGGCGAACTTCTGGCCAATTTAACCCCCGTCAACACGCAATTGTCGCCGGTGGATACGCTGGATTAGGCATAGGCCTCTCTCAGCGTCTGGATATGTTGGATACTACTGTCTTGGACATTATGGACGTCAACCACCTCTTCTGGATCCACTTCTCCGACTCGCCTTCGTCCTCGTCAAAGGAACTCGTTGCTGCATCTGCGCCTTCCGCCCTTTCCCTCCTTTCCGTCGGTCTTGGTGCACTGACTATGGTTGGTGGACATGGCCTTTCGACCCGTGGTCTTATCGAGGGCATCGTCCGTCTCACTGATATGGTTGGCAATGACAAAACACGAAAGCTCATTGCTCCTATCATCGGCGCAGTTGGTTTGGGAATGGGTGTCTATCTTGTTCTCGAACTACCTAAGACCATCCCTCGTAACGTCGGCCGTCGTGTTCGTGACCAAGTCCTTCATCCCTCCACAGAGGAGGAAGAGGAGGAGAAATGGACCGAAGGTCATGCAAAGCGGATCGAGAAGGAGACCCGGAAGGTTCTCAGATTAGCATCTTGGGATTTGAAGGAAAGATTCCGTGGTGCCATGGAAGAGCGTTCGAAGGAGGTGAAGAGAGGCGAAGAGAGTGAGAAGCGTGCTGAGGGTGCCATTGAGTGGTTTAATGGTGCGAAGATCAGAGTGGAAGGCGTTCGAGGAGAGATTCAAGGCGTTTAGATAAGTTGAGTGTTTGTTCGGTGTTCATAGCGTATCCATGTAATGTGTGTTAATATGCCCCTTTTTTCTTCGTTCTTCCTCTTACTTTACGCCTTCTTTCCATGATGACGAGCGGACATTAGGTTCGTCTCAAGACACCTTCTTTTTTGATACTTCTCTCCCTTTCTCTCTACATCTAAAGATGCTACGTACGATGGCTTTTTACCATAGCCATTAAGATTTGTATACGAATTGAATGACCTTTAGAAGTATTTTGGCGTCGCTGGAATCCTATAGTGCTACATGCAAGATCGACAAACATCGCAAAGCATTCGCCGGCCTACATTGCAGCTGGCCAGCAGACCCAATTATAAATTCGACTGGTTTATTCACTTTTAGTAACCCTCAGTAGCTTTCAATGGACAGATGGTGCAGATAGAAAAGTTGCTGTGGAGAAAGCACGTGATAACATAGGAAGGGTGGAGATGCTGATAGTTTTCTTTTGAAGAAGGAAACTTAAGCATATCGCTAATCACAATGAATTACCTATCGAAAACAGCTTTTGGGATGAGGTCTAAGGCTCATTATTAAACTTGAGAAGGGTCATTGACTCTTTGGGCAGACTCTCTCAAGGATGCGGCTTAATCCCAGACTCACAGGCATTCCCTTCAGAAGTAAATAAAAGTAAAAATTAAGGGATGATACATTAGAGGTGACTAGAGCGGATGAGCGGAAAACAGAATGCTGAAGACGCGAAGGCGTGACTACTCGTCCATCGCATCCTCTACGATTTCTTCACCTTCATCGATCCAACTCTGCTCAACAGTAATCTGAACTCTCCGTACGTATTCCTTCATGTTCTCGCGGTAGAGCTGGGCAGCTTCAGCATTTGCTGGGCTTTGTGGATTTGGATCGTGGAGGAGACTCTGATACAAATGGAGGCGAGCGTGAGAAATTTGATTTCGATAATAATTGAAAATTTTATGGAGATAAAACATACTTGGATACTCGTCAAAACAGCTGCGACGTCGTAAGTTGGACTCCAGCGATTCTGAAGGATGTCAAGACAGAGCTCGCCGTTCGCATACACATTTGGATGGAACATTTTGGAAAGGAACTTGACTGTGGGCGGCTTTGTCGGGTACGATTCATCGAATGAAAGTGTGAGTTTAAAAGTGCCATCCTCAAACGGCGTGTCAGCTGCAAGCACATGTGAACATTCAACAATCGCAACACGCGAGACAAGCGGGAAGATAGAAACAACATAACGGACCAGGTCCAAATATGACTGCGTTCCAGAGCATGATATTGTCTGAACAAGGGCTACCCGAAACGCCCTCAGGACCACCATCGCGCAACGACTTGAGGTCGCGCATCAATCGTCGTCTGCAGGGGGTTGACTGTGGCAATCTCAGCACAAGAACATTGGCGAAATCCACTTAGGAAATCTTATACCATAGTGAAAGACAAATGGACAATGGTTCAAGGAAGTAGCAATAAGCCAAGATGACAACAAGGGACAAGCTGAGTGGTGCTGACTCAGCACTGGTCGCGGAATTGGGTGGATCTATAACTTCCTCCAACTCCGACGTTTTGGCAGTGCGAGAAACTTTGCTTAGTTACTCTCCCCATACTTATAATACAAGGGAATTGATTTTATTGATACCTCCTGACTCAGCCAATTCTGGATAACTCCATGCAATAAATGTAGGTTTCTCTCTTTGCAAACCATCGGACTGTGTC